CCCTCCCCCACCCCCCTTCTAGTCCTTACACTCCCCTTACTCTTCCCCCTCAGAACTACCAGTGAATTTCCTCACTGGTGTGTATGCTTTTGCCTGGCCAGTTAATAGATGAAGTTTCACATTTTTCTTTGTTTTGAGCTCTGGTGGCCTTTGTTTTATTCTTTGATTCACAAAAAAAGACATTTAAGCACAAATCCCCACATTTGGGTATGTACGTATTATCTACATGTACTCTTATGATTACATACATTATAAAACGTTAAGAAATGTGGATTATGAATAGGAGTTCTATTGTTTTTCTGCCTTCCAGTGGATTGTCTCATCCATTCTGCCTCATTCTCACCTGATTACTGATAGAAAGGGAGTGTTGTTAAGCTCACTGTTACCAGTTTCAGCGATGATGGCTCCTTTAAGCAGTGGCTCCCCCGTGTGGTGCAGTTGAGTTTGTCAAACAGTTTCCATCTATAAACGTATCAAAAGATGAAAGAGATGTTTCTGAAATTCAAGTGTGAATCAATGAAGATTGGAGGACTGCTGTCTAAATAGGATTATTAGAAACACTTGGTATATAAAACCAGGAGCACCCATTCTCCTGTGGTAGCCCTAAATAAGGGGCTGTGTGTGTGTATCTCCAGTGAGTTGGGCGGGGGATATGGTCTTGAGTTTGTACTCTGAAGCTCTCCTTTTGCTTTAGTACCTGGCCCTTGGTTGAGCTTCCCTGTGGGTATTCTGCACGATCAGCCCTTTCTAAGATCTCCTTCTTCCAGGATTTTGAAGCTTTGACTCCAAACTTGCTGGCCAGGACTGTAGAAACAGTGGAAGGCGGTGGGCTGGTGGTTATTCTCCTACGGACCATGAATTCACTCAAGCAGTTATACACGATGACCATGGTAAGTGTCTGTTTTTTAACTTAATTGTGGAGGGTTCAAATCAACCTGTGTTCTTACTGTCAGTCACTTTTAAGAATTCCTGTTGAGCAACTCAAGTGAGCGGTCAGCACAGTCTCTGTGCTGGGAGCTCTTTGACTGCAGCTAATGAGAAAGTCAATGCAGAGAATACTCAGTGGCCCTGAGTGTGCCTAGGAATGTCTCTGAATTTTGCATTTGCTGCCGAGCATTTGCAAATTCTATACCAGTTAGATTCAGATGTGATGCAGCTGTTACAGAGTTAAATTTCTGAAGTAGTAATCACAGAAACTCATGCCAGTGCCTAATTTTGTGTATTGCAGAAAAGGGGCTGTGCACAGCGTTCCTCATTGGCCTCTATCCTAATGGATAATGGAAGACCATTTGCCAGTTCCACTCCCACGTTAATAAGAACTTTGACTCTGGGAGGGGTAGTTTTCTTCTAAAGCTGAGGATATGGTTAGGAGTGGGGATATGTCTTATCGGATGCCACGTGGGTCTCTGAGCAGCAGGCTTGTAGTCCTGTCCACAGCCTAGCTGCGTGGAAATGGTGTTAGAATTGGCCTCAGGTTTGAGTGAGCTGGATTCATCTGGTGAAATGGACTTTGCTCAAATCTTGATTCCTGTTACCACTACTCCTCCCTTACTTGTGACTTCAGCCCCTCTGGCCTCCTTGAAAGTCCTCAGACATGCCCAGCACAGTCTTACCTCAAGGCCTTTGCACTTGCTGTTCCCATGCAAAATGTCTGTGTGGCTCACTTCCTCACTTCACTCAAGTCCCTGCTCAAATATCACCTCTTCAGTGTGGTCTTTTCTCACACCCTGTTGAGAATAGGTGGTTTTGTTGGCCACTCCTTTAACCTGATTTATTTTTCTTTAAAGCATTTTACAGCTCCTGCTAGTCTTTAAACTGCACAAGAGCAGGGACTTAGTTTTCTTCCTGGAAGAGTGCCTGGTCTTTAGTAAACACTCATTAAATATTTATGAATGAACAAATGACTTTGTGCCCACAGCACTGTTTGTTCTTCCTCCCTCTCTTACTTTGCTGCCTGCTTATCACCTCAGAGGGCCTTCCCTCACTGCCCCGTATAAGTAGTAACTCCCCATTTGTTATTACTGCACCCTGCTTTTCATTTGTAGCATTTGCCAAAACTTGTATCTGGTTACTCATTTGTCCCCCTCTAATCATGACGCTATAAGCCCACGAGAACAGAGGTCATGCTGTATTAAACACCAGTGTGCGCCCAGCATGTCTGGCATTCTTGGTATGTATTTTTATTGAATGAATGAATACATTTTATGATGCTGGGTAAAATGTGGAAAAAGTCAAAGGTGAGGTGAGGGCAGTTTGTTGTAATAAGTAACATTACATTTGGTGTTGGATCCCAGTTCTAGAAGATGGCATCTGGCCAGTTCAGTGCAGCAGGTTATGGAGAAGTGGATTTCTTTTCCAACAGCGTCGTCAGCACCTCTTTTATCCCAGGGCTGCCTGATAGAACTTCACGTTTGGATCCTGAGCCTCAGCCCCCTGTGGATGCCTTTGTTAATGGATGTTCTCTTCTAGGATGTGCATTCAAGATACAGAACTGAGGCCCATCAGGATGTGGTGGGAAGATTTAATGAAAGGTAGGTCCGCAGCACGTTTCTCAGCCCCTTTATTGTGGGAACCACTGTGGGAGGAACATTTTTATCTTGGAGCCAACTGAGAGCTGTGCTTCTGTCTGAGGGAAGTAGTACAGGAGTCCAAAGCGGTGAGATTTCTGACAGCAGCAGTTGTGAAAGTAACTGGAAGCAATAAAAGACAGTGGGAAGCAAGGGCCAGGAGACCTGGATTCTGTCTGGCTCCTGGCCTCAACCAAGCCACTCTCCCTCTCCGCTCTTAGCTTACTCATCTATAAAAGGGGCGATTCGTCTGGGTCACTGTTTCCCAAAATGTGTTTTGCAGAACACTAGTGTTTTAAGAGGAACCTTATGACAAAAGGGTCTTATAGCCCAGTGTGTCTGGCAAATGCTGGTATGGTTTTCCTTTACGAAGAGTTACATTACCCTGTTGTAGCCTCTGCAAGTCTTGTAGCAGCAGGGACCTGTTTAACTGATGGTTTCCCAAATTTATATGGCCATAGGGCCCTTTTTAGGGAACACCAGGTAGCCACCTGTGAAACACCTTAGAAACTGTGGCCTAAATCACTAGTTCTCAACCAGAGCAGTTTTGCCCTAGGGTAATTTGGCAATGCATGGCGTCATTTTGATTGTCATAACTTGGGGAAAGGGGGTTTGGTAGAGGGTGCTACTGGTACCTACCAGGTAGAGGCCAGGGATGCTGCTAAACAGCTTAAAAGGCACAGAACAGCCCTATCAACTGAGGATGATCTGGTCTGAAATGCCAGTAGTGCTGAGGTTTAGAAATCCTGGCCTTGGTGAACCCTGGGCCTTTCGAATTTTCACTGTCTCTGAGATGAACTCACCAGGAGTAGGCCAGGAAGTTACCGTGGGCTCGGCTCCCAGGTAGAACCGAAGCCTATGAAAGTAGCCTGTGAGGCCTTTTTCCTGCATTTGTGGGAGAAGTTTCAGTTTCGTAGCCAAACGTTTTTCTACATGCAAGAATGTTTATGTTATATTTCTTAAGGGAGCTTTCCTGTCCTCCCTTTTCTTTTTTTCTTCCTTGTGACAGAAGGTAAATCCATTTGCTTCTCCCCATGTGAGCAGTGAGCATATGCGGGGTGGGTTTGCAGTGCCCCACTTAAGACACTGTAGTGCTGAGTGGTGAGAAGCATGCAGGAAGAGCCAGATGGCTCAGGGAACAGTGGTGCTGTGCACAGGAGGAGCGCTTGGAGTCAGTCTCAAGAGAGTCTTGGTTTTCTTCTCTTACTGCATAAAGTGTGGTCGGGTGCCCCATAGAGGAGGCTCAGAATCTCCTCACATTGCTCTTCGACTGGGTTGGCTTTCTCTGGCTTTCTCAGACACCTGAGGCCAAATGATTTCCCTGAAGAAAAGCCACACTTTTGTTGTGTAGACATTGGTCCCCTTCCCCCCACACCTCATTATGGTGGTTTTGTTCCTCAGATTTATTCTATCTTTGGCCTCTTGTAAGAAGTGTCTTGTCATTGATGACCAGCTCAACATCCTGCCCATCTCCTCCCACGCCGCCAGCATTGAGGCCCTACCTCCCCAGACCCCGGTGAGTCAGCCAGGGGTCTGAGAACCTGGGGGAGGCTGCATTTTCTGTTGGACACTCCCGTGGCAGTGGCAAACCTTCTCTTCTCTCTGGTAGGATGAGAGTCTTGGTCCTTCTGATCTGGAGCTGAAGGAATTGAAGGAGAGCTTGCAGGACACGCAGCCCGTGGGCGTGTTGGTAGACTGCTGCAAGACCCTAGACCAGGTGAGTGTGGCAGTCAGAAGTTCCCTGCCCCAGTATAAATAGCACAGAGGGAAACTGTAGCATGCAGAAAGCAACGGAAGCCAGGTTAGGACGAGTCAAGACTTGGATCCTCTCTGGGGAAGGCGTTTTCTCTTGCTCCTACTCATGCAGTGACAGCAGGGCTGTTCTGTCTTATCTGGGTTCACAACAGAAGTTCGGGGATTACCTCGCCCCCGCATCTCCCATTAATAGTAGTTCAGGGAGCTGGGGTTGGGGGGGAGACAGATTAAATTTAAAGAGGAATTTCCTCAGTGCTTTTCCCAAGAGAGGGTGTTATGCCTGTGTTCTTTCATTTGAATTAAGTTTTGATCACATAAAAGTTTTTGCTTTTGCCTTGTATAGGAGTGAGAGGAGAGCTTGAGGACCCTTGTACTTACTCTGGTTCCAGTGTGAGGTCTGGAGAGGGCCCTGTGGGGTCAGGTGTACCTGATCTTTAGTGCAGATGGCAGGCTGGGTGGGAGCTGCCAGGATGTAGTTTTCTGCTCACTGAGATGGCCATGGCTGGTAAACTTGGCTTCTTTGGTAGTTCCTGGGCTGTGCTGGGACCTGACGGTATGGCCCCAAGGCCTTCAAGCTGTCAGGTGTGTTTAGGGCTCTGGTCAAGCCTCAGCCATATGAGCAGCACAGGCCTGTTGGTACTGGGTTCTGTTCTCGTGATGGAAAACAGCCACAGTGACACCTCCCACTTGGGGCTGAGTCCAAACAGGCTGGTTTTTCTTTTCATTCTGGAAATAGAATCACCAGCTTGTAGCTCGCTGCTTTGAATCATTTCCTAGTACTCTGTTTATCAGCAGAGAGGGAGTGAGATAGGATGGAGGAAAAGGCAGAAGAGGGAGAAACTACAATATCAATAGTAGAAGAGTTACAGGGGAACAAATGACTTATAGCCCCCCAAAAAAAAATTTTTTTTGTAAGTAGAGAAGAACATGCATTAAAAATAGAAAGTGGGCCCGGCCGGGCGTGGCTCAGCGGTTGAGCATTGACCTAGGATCCAGGCGATCGGGGTTTGATTCCAGGGCAGGGCACATGCCCGGGTTGCGGGCTCGATCAATGACTCTCTCATCATTGATGTTTCTATCTCACTCTCTCCCTCTCCTTTCCTTTCTCAAATCAATAAAGATATATTTAAAAAAAAAAAAAAATAGAAACTGGTACACTAACTGAAATTTCTGAAAAAGAAATAAAACCAATATAATATTTAAGGAATAAATTTAAGGTGGTGAAAGCTTTCTATGCTGGAAACTACAAGACATTAATAAAGGAAATTGAAGAAGACAAGTAAATGGAAAGGTATCCGTGTTCATGGATTGGAAGAATTAATACAGTATTGTGAAAATATCAATACTACTGAAAACCATCTATAGGTTCAGTGCAATCTCTATCAAGATTCTAATGGCATTTTTTACAGAAGTACTAAGAACACTCCTAAAATGTATGTGGAACCACAGAAGATCCTGAATAGCCAAAGAGATCCTGAGAAAGAAGAGCAAAGCAAGAGGTATCGCACTTCATGATTTCAAGTTATGCTACCACGCTATAGTCATTAAAACACTATGGTGCTGGTATAAAAACAGACACACAGGCCAATGGAACAGAATTGAGAGCCCAGAAATAAACCCAAGCACACATATTTGGTCAACTGATATTTGACAAGGGAGCCAAGAATACTCAATGGATAAAAGACAGTATTTTTAAAAGTGGAGCCCAGCCGGGCGTGGCTCAGCAGTTGAGTGTCGACCTAGGATCCAGGTGATTGGGGTTTGCTTCCCAGTCAGGGCACATGCCCAAGTTGCAGGCTTGATCCCCAGTCGGGGGCGTGCAGGAGGCAGCCGATCAATGACTTTCTTATCATTGATGTTTTTGTCTCTCTTCCTCTCTCTGAAATCAATAAAGATATATTTAAAAAATAAATAAAAAATAAAAATAAATAAAAATGGAGCGGGAATAATATTCACATGTGAAAGAATGAAACTGGACCCTTGTCTTACCAATCACAAAAATTAACTAGGAATGGATTAAAGACATTTATAAGAAGTGAAATTGCTAGAAGAACACCTAGGAACAGAGCTCCTTGACATTGGTCTGGGAAATGATTTTTTGGATATGACACCTAAAGCACAAGCAACAAAATAAAAAAATAAGTGAGACTATATCTAACTAAAAAGCTTCTGTACAGCAAAAGAAACAATTCACAAAGTAAAAAGATCTACTGAATAGGAGAAAATATATGCAAACCATATATCTGATAAAGAGTTAATATCTAAAACATAAAGAACTCCTACAGCTCAATAGCAAAGAAACAAATAACCCATTTAAAAATGGGCAAAGCACCTGAATACACATTTCTCCAAGGAAGATATATGAAAGGCCAACAGATACATGAAAAGATGGTCAACATCATTAGTCACTGGGAAAAAGGCAAATTTAAAACCACAATGAGATCTCACTTCACGCATGTTAGAGTGGCCATCATCAAAAAGACAAGAGAACAAATGCTGACATAGATGTGGAGAAAAGGGAACCCATGTGCACTGTTGGTGGAAATGTAAATTGGTGTAGCCACTGTGGCAGACAGTATGGAGGATCCTCGAAAAATTAAAAATAGAACTATATGATCTAGCAATTCCACTTCTGGGATTATAGCCAAAGGTAATGAAAACACTAATTCGAAAAGATATCTCCACCCTCATGTTCATTGCAGCATTATTTACAATAGCCAAGACATGGAAACAACGTAAGTGCCTATTGATGGATGGATGAATGAATAAAGAAATTGTGGTGTATATATATGCAACGGAATATTATTCAGCCATAAAAAACGAATCCTACTATTTGTGACAACATGGATAGAACTTGACATTATGCTAAGTGAAATAAGTCGGACAGAGAATGACAAATACTCTGTGGTTCCTGAGAATATGTGGGATCTAAAAACAAAGCTCAGAAAAAGATCAAACTTGGTACTGGAGATAAGGGGTAAGGGGAATTGGAGGAATGTGGTCAGAAGGTACAAACTTCCAGTTACAAGATGGAGCAGGAAAAAGGGACAGGAAGTGCCAGGAGGAGGGTGAGGTGCTGTGGTTCTAGATACAGCGGTTGGGGACGGCCTCGTTTAGGTGATGTTTGAGCACACTTGAAGGAGTTGAGAAAATGAGCCTTGTGGCTCTGTCGGGGAAGAGTGCCTTGGCAGAGGGATCTCCAGGTACATAGGCCTGAGTAGGATCTACCTGGTGTGCTTGAGGACTAGCAAAAGCTGACTGGGCTGAAGCAGGTCGAGTGGATGGGAGATGGCAGTTGATGGAGATCGGATGGTATACGTCCATGCAGGACTCTGGAAGGGCTTTGGCATTTACTCCGAGAGAGATGGGGGCCAGTGGAAGGTCTTAGGTTTCTAGTCTTTTCTCAGCACAGCTGCCAGAGTCTAGACTGTAGGGGAATGAAGGTGGGAGCAGAAAGATTCCTGTACTAGGAGGTACTGTAATAACAGGGGTAAGACAGGATGGTGGCTTCCACCAGAGTAGTAGAGGAGGATTATGGTGAAGAATGGTAGGATTTGTGTATGTTTTGAAGGTAGCACTTTTAGGATTTGCAGATAAATCAGGAATGGGGAGAAAATGGAGAAGGCTTTTAGCCTCAACAATTGGACAGTTGATAGGGAAGACTATAGGTGGAGGAGGTTTGAGGAGCACGTTAAGTGTTCGGTTTTAAGTTCAACATGCCTGTTAAGGTACAAGTGGAGATGTGCAGGGGCAGTTGCACTGGAGATTGGTATTTAAAGCCTCAAGGCTCAGAGGAGGTGACTATAGGAGCGGAAGTCCAAATGCTGAGCCTCGCTCTCTAGCCTATGAGAACTGCCCCCCCTTTTTTTGGTCTTGGCATCAGCCTGACTTCTCCACAGTGATGGGGGTAGATGGCTAAAACTCAGTCTTTCTCAGAGCTCACCTAATACATGTCTCTTTCCACAGGCCAAAGCTGTCTTGAAATTCATCGAGGGGATCTCTGAAAAGACCCTGAGGAGCACTGTCGCACTCACAGCTGCCCGAGGAAGGGGAAAATCTGCAGCCCTTGGGTTGGCTATTGCTGGGGCAGTGGCTTTTGGGTAAGAGGGCCCAATGACCCATCTTTTGGAGCCATGGGCTCCGAGGGAGCAGTGTGTGGGATTAGGACTCGGGGATCTAGGAGGCCGTTCTGGGTCTGAGCAGGCTCCTGGTGATAGGTCTTGGGTTCCTGTCTACAAACAGCAGCACATTCCCTCAACTCCCCAGAGTTGCAAATACATGTGCAGGCAAACACAGACACACACTCCAGCGCCTTTGTGGTCAGTATTTAAAGTTGAACAGATACAAAAGCAAATAAATGCTGGTGAGAAACTATAATTCTCAGAATACGACAATGTGTGTGACCAACTTTGCTGACCGAGAAAAGTACAAGTTGGGCATTTTAATGATTTTGATCAATAGAAGATCCTGTTTGCTTCCAAGGAGCTGCCTTGAGTGTGATGTTACTTCTGTCTTTTGCCCTGGGTGGGAGATTTATGCAGCTGCCAGCACAGTACATGCTTCCAACTTCACAGACATCAACACTGGGCCTAGAGTGGACCTAGGAGACCATGGTCTCCTATATGCGCCATCTTCCGTGGTACTCCCAGTTCTGACTCCTAGTCCTTTGTTCTTGCTGCTCCAAGGGTACCAGTCGGCCCCTTAGGTGTTAGCATGCTGTGTATCCATGAGAATCCCTTAGGTTTGCTGTGGCCTTGGCCTGAGGACCAATGCAGCTCTGGCTTCACAGTTTGAAACCGTCTTATCCTAGGGCACAGGACTGGGGACCAGTATGCTGGTTCTGCACACTGAGGGAGCTATCCCCACAGCACCCCTTAGCAGTGCATTTTCACATGTCAGGAGCTAATGGCCTGGATGTGCTACCTTCAGGATGTTAATGTGTTTTCCTTAGTTTGGGAGGAAAAATATCTTCAGGTCTGAAGTTGTTTTACTTTTCCTTCCCAAAAAGTGTCCTGATTTTTTCCCTGCCGTTGCCTCTGGTTATCACTCGTGTGACTAGAGCCAAGATGTTTTCTTTTTACTTAGGTTCCCTACATATCTTAGATTTTCTAATTACTTAAAAAATTTTTCTTTTTCTTTTGTTCATTAGGTACTCCAATATCTTTGTTACCTCCCCAAGCCCTGATAACCTCCACACTGTGTTTGAATTTGTATTTAAAGGATTTGATGCGCTACAGTATCAGGTAGGAAATCAGGGTAAGAATTTTGATTCAATACTGAGTTTTAATTCAGGAGAAGTCTTTAGAATGTGTGCTTACTGTCTTACTATTTAGTTTCTAAAGCTTGTTGCTAATGTCTGTCATTGGTTTGACTCTATCAGGAACATCTGGATTACGAGATTATTCAGTCTTTAAATCCTGAATTTAACAAAGCAGTGATCAGAGTGAACATATTCCGAGAACACAGGCAGACCATTCAGGTGAGGCTCGTTCCAAAACCCTGCTGTGTGGGGGCAGTGTCCTGCTGGTTTTAAATGGCTCTAAGGTGTTTTCCTTTATAGTCACTTTATGTCCTGTGTAATTGCATGTATTTTAGATGGTGGTTGTTTTAGGATAAACTTGTTCCAGATTTTCAACCTCTTCTAAAGAAAACCATTCAAGCAAACTAACAAGTGTATGTAGCCAGATTGGAGCATTGTAGTTTTGACCCATGAAAATTGAGTATGTGGGATTGAGAGTATGCTAATCTGCCAGAAGAAATATAATCATTGTTCTGACATCAGTTCTAATTTTGCTTAGTTACAGCAGGTTTTGAATCGGTGCATCAGTAACTAGAAAAAAAAAGAACTTTACAAAATTGGACTCTTGAGTCTTTTGGTTTAGTGAGTGGCCTCTTTTCCTTTAATATGTTTTTATTGATTTCAGAGAGAGGAAGGGAGAGTTGAAACATCAATGATGAGAGTCATTGATCGTCTGCCTCCTGCATGCCCCCGACTGGGGATCGAGCTCACAACCCAGGCATGTGTCCTGACTGGGAATCGAACCTTGATCTCCTCGATCCTAGGTTGCTGCTCAACCGCTGGGCCATACCCTGGCCTCTTTTCCTTTTTAAACAGTGTTCCACTGAAAGCCCTACAGATCCAGTGCTTTGTAAGCCTGGATGGCGTGCACTTGTCCAAAGGCTGCAATTTTTGTTAAGTCGTAGAGAAGCATCAGTGTGACAGGCTTGCAGAAGGGATGGAGACCTACGGGCTCCTAGTGGAGGAGGTTCATTGATTATTGTTGGGGTTAGGTTGGGGTGGGAAGTGGGCAGGTAAACTTGCAGTTTATACCCTTGACCTTTATGCCTGTCGGGGAGCTATGCCTGTGAAGGAGGTATACCTTTTTATCAACAAGTCCAGATTATAAATGATGTTAAGTGTTTATGTTTTTACCTAAGGATCTTAATTTTTTTCTTATTAGGTCTCTTTTTAGAATCTCTCATTCCGTACATTTCTTCCCATTTTTGCCTGAGTCCCTCAGCTGAGAGGAGGAAAGACTGATGTTGGGGTAGGAGGCAGGCTGCAGGTGGTGAGAATACAGAGACCTGTTAAAACTGAAGGAAAATACGCAAACCAAAGAAGGAAACCTCTCCCTGAAATACCCTGGCTCAGCCCTTGCTGCTGCTTGGATTTTTAATCACAGACCCTCTTGCTTTACCAGAGTCCTTTTGTCTCCAGACTGGAGTTTAAACATAGAAGCGGTGACCTGACTTTATGAGGCTCCATTTATGTCCCTTTGAGGTCTTCTTCGTGCTGGAAATTGGAAAAAAAAAGAGGAATATTAGGTTAAAGTCTGCTATGCCTTCTCTAGGGGACTGCTTTCTGCTACTTTCATGAGGCGCTTGTTTAGTTTTCCCTTTTAAGAACCCAAGACATGGGGCCCTGTTGGGGATGTGTATCCTGCTATTAGAAATGAGTGGGGTCACTGCCTTCCTGACCTATCAACCTCGAGCAGAGCAGTTACAAAATCTTACTTGTGACGAAATCCTTCAGACATACAGGAAAATGCAGAGACCAATATAATACTCAGATGCCCTGCAATCAGGCTTAAGAAATGTTGACATTTTGCTATTTGCTGTGTTTGTTTCATAGTTTAAAAGTCATTTATGTTTTTGTTTTAAAGATCTAAAACATCACAGACATCCCTCTTGTACCCCTCCCGATCCCATTCCCTCTGTCACTCCCCATAGTAACTCTATTCTGAGATTTGTTTCCTTTCAATTCATGTGTTTATATTTTACTGCATAATTATGCATCCATAAATGGTAACATGCTATACTTGTCCTCTTTCAGCTTGCCTTTTTCTACTCAGCATGTCTTTAAGATTTGTCCAGATCCAACCTTGTAGATCTGGTTGCTGTTAAGCACTGTATGTATATACTGCAGTTTATTTATGTTTCTAGAAGTGGAATTGTTCGGTTTTAGGGGGTATGTAGCTTTCCAGCTTTCTTGGATTTTGCCAAATTCTTTAAATTTACCTTCACACCAGGATTTTTGTTCTGTTTTGTTTTTTTTTGTTTTGTTTCCCCAAGTTCTCACAAACACTGAGTGTTTTACCTGTGTGCTTGTGGAATAGGATCCCCTGTTGTCTTTAGCATGTACTAATCACTAGCGTGGTTGAGTGCCTTTGTTTTATGTGCTCTTTTGCAAACTGAAAATATCAGGAAGCCCTGAAGAGACTGAAGGGGCTGTTTGTATGCATAAGGATGTCAAGCTTATGGCAAGTTTGTGGCGTTATGTGGCCAAGCCAATAATATAAATAAACATGTGAATGTGTGTGTGTTAAAAAGGGAGTAAGTCTTAGAAGTATCCCACTAGTGCAGGGGGATTTGGCCTTTATAATGATGGTATCAAAGCATGGTGCACGGTACCCAGCACATAGTAGGTGCTTGAGAAATCTGACATCCTCCTATTAGCCACCACTAGGCCAAGCTGTGCCTCTGGCTCACTGGCCAGAATGAGGCTCGGGGGAAGCATGAGAAGGCAGAAGAGAGAAAAGAAAGGGAGGCACCACCTAGCACACTAGGCCAGGCACTGGGCAAGGAATTTTTACAGATTTACCTGATTTTTTTCTCAAGCAGTCATCGGATAGGTGTCTCCTCCATTTTACAGGAGAGGAATCTGAGGTGCTGTGTGATTAAGTGACCCATCTAGGGTCACACAGGTGGTTGAACTGTTACCCAGGTGTCTGATTCCAAGCCCATTACATTTTTGCCCTGCCAAGGAAAAGTGGAAAGGAATGAAAGAAGAAATGGGAAGGGGGAGAGAGATGAAAGAGAGGCCTTCATGATGCCTCACCAGTGATCATTGCTGTGACATTAGGTGGCCAAGCTAATAATATAAACATTTCTTCCCTGCAGTATATACATCCCGCAGACGCTGTGAAACTGGGCCAGGCTGAACTCGTTGTGATTGATGAAGCAGCTGCCATCCCCCTCCCCCTGGTGAAGAGCCTCCTGGGCCCCTACCTTGTTTTCATGGCATCCACCATCAACGGGTAAGGCACCTCGGGGTGTAGTCATTGCTCTCATTGTAGGTTCTTGCAGATTAGGTGGCATGTAAGGAATATGGCCTGGGTAGCTAAGTCTAATTCCCGAAGTCTGAGTCCTTGGGGCTGCTTCAGTCTCTCTTAGGACTCTTGCAAATGGGAACTGACCTCTCAGTAATCCACTGTAGCTCACCTCTGGTCTGACATTAAGTGGGCCTCACAAGACTAAAGAATTTCATAAGTCAGGTGATGAGTGTCTCCTGTCTGTAGGCCTGATCAAGTTTTTAAAAGTACATGGATGGCAATACCAATGTCTTAAATCTTAGGATTATGTGAAAATAACTGTAGAACTAGCATAAGAAACTGGGCTTATAATGGCTTGGGAGCTTTTTTTAAATTTTGAAATATTTAGTTCGTGTTTGCTATAGAAAATTTAGGAAAAATAGGTAAGCAAAAAGAAAAATCACTGGTGACCCAGTCATCTAGAGATAGCTTCTGTTAGAATTTTGCTGCACATTTTCTGTGCATTTATTTTACCTTTTAATTTTGAACAAAAACATAAACATAGTTTACATATTGTTTTTAATTTGCTTTTTCCCATAACAATATACTATGAAATTTTTCCAGGTCAATAAATACATAACTTTAATATTGGAAATATTTTGATATGGAAGTCACATCTTGAAAAGATAATTCTATTATAGATTTATTATTGTGACTGCTTTACTTACACTGAAAATATTTAAATAAAATGGACTTTACTTTTTTTGGTAATAGCTTCCTTGAGGTATAATTTACATACCACACAATTGACCCATTTAAAGTGTATAATTCCATTGTTTTTAGTATATTCACAGAGTTGTACAAAATCATTAACCACAGTCAATATTAGAACATTTTCATTAGCCCAAAAAGAAACCCTGTGCCTTATAGCTATCACCCTCTAATCCCTTCTTCCCCTCCCCCAGCCCTAGGGAACCATGAATCTACTTTTTGTCTCTATAGATTTACCCTTTCTGGACATTGCTTATAAATGGAATCATACAGCATGTAGTCTTTTGTGACTGGCTTCTTTCACTTAGCATAATGCTGTGTGTGTTTCTTTTAAAAAAATATATCTGTATTGATTTCAGAGAGAGGAAGGGAGAGAGATAGAAACATCAATGATGAAAGAGTCATCATTGATCGGCTGCCTCCTGCACCCCCCTCACACTGGGGATCGAGCCCGCAATCCGGGCATGTGCCCTGACTGGGAATCGAACCATGATCTCCTAGATCCTCCGTCGATGCTCAATTGCTGGGCCACATCCGGCTGGGTAGCATAATGTTTTTAAGGTTCATTCATGTAGCTTGTATCAGTACTTCATTCCTTTTATTTCATATTCCATTGTGTGTTTATAAACATTTTGTTTTTCCATTCACCTGTTGATAGACATTTGGGTTGTTTTGGTCTTTTGACCATTAGGAATAATGCTTCTGTGAGCATTCAGTACAGGTTTTTGTGTGGACATGTTTTCAGTTTTCTTGGATGTGTACCTAGGAGTGGAATTACTAAGTAAAATGGTGACTTTCTGTTTAACCATTTGAGGGACTGCCAGACTGTTTTCCAAAGCAGCTGTACCATTTTATATTCTTACCAGCAGTTTATGAAGGTCCCAGTTTTTTCACATCTTTGCCAGCATTTGTCATATGTCTTTGATTATAACCATCCTAGTAAGTGTGAAGTGGTGTCTCCTATGGTCTTCATTCACATTTTCCTGAGGGCTGGTGATGTGGGGCATCTTATGAGCTTATTGGCCATTTGTATATCTTCTTTGGAGAAATAGCTATTCAGATCCTCTGCTCATTTCTAATTGAGTTGTAAGGATGCCTTATATATTCTAAATACAAGTCCCTTAATCAGATGTAGGATTTACAGTTTTTTTCTCCCATTCTGTGTTACTTTTTGGTCACTTAAATGTCCTTTGAAGCACAAAAGCTTTTAGTTTTGTTGTGTTTCTTCTTGTTTTTGTTTTTAAATAAGTAAATGGAATTCCTTTAAGAAAGCTTTGCTTTGTGGTGTGGAGAGGGGAGAAAAAATACTTCAAAATTCCAATTTTTTGGTCATTCTTTAAAAGTAATATTTGAGTAAGAGGAAATATTTATACAGTAAGAGGAAATATTTATATATTTACAGTATTAAACATTATAATATGAGTACTACAAAGTGGTGAAATAATAAAAAAGAAAGCCTGCAGAGCAGTCTGTACTCTGTGGTCACATGTGGTTGTGATGAAAGACAAGGAGGAAATAAAATTGAAAAGTGCTGGTTCAGCGGTCAGAATATAGATAATTTCTTTTTTCCCCCCAAATGTTTTACGAGTTGTTTTATGTTACCTTTTTTAAAAAAATATATATTTTTACAGATTTCAGAGAGAGGAAGGGAGAGACACATAGAAGCATCAATGATGGGAGTCATTGATCAGCTGCCTTCTATACGCCCCCTGCTGGGGATCGAGCCCGCAACCCCGGCATGTGCCTTGACCAGGAATTGAACTGCGATCTCCTGGATCATAGGTTGATGCTCAACCTCTGAGCCACTGTGGCCAAGCTACCTTTTAAGTGAAAGTAGTAATTAAAAGAATTACTTGGGTGGTGGATTTGTTTAATCTCGATTTTCCAGACTAGAAATGTTCTCTATTCCTTCAAGTTGTTACTTCTAACAGCAGCTCTTAGGAATTGACCATTAACTGTTTCAGTTTCATTATGCTCAAGGCTTTACTCACATAATTTTTTCAGTCCTTATTTGACTTAGTTCATAGCACAGTCCAGTGAGGTGTGTAGAATAATCCCCTTGTGACGATGATGCTAAAAGAGGTTGAGTTCCTTGCCCAGAGGTACTAGGTAGTCGTGCCAGGACTTGAACCAAGGCCGGTTCCAGGCTGAGCCACCTTGCTGCCCTGCCTCCCTTGGGTGTGCCCATGTTGTCCAGGAGTTCTGAAGTGACCAGGGCTGTCCTGGGGGAGCAGGAACCCGGTGTTTCAGCAAGATGAGGAAAGTAGTTCTCGTTCCCCTTCTAGAGAATGGGTTTGGGACCTTGTGCCTAATGGCCTTTGCTTTTGCCCCTAGATACGAGGGCACTGGACGGTCACTGTCTCTCAAGCTAATTCAGCAGCTCCGTCAACAGAGTGCCCAGAGCCAGATCAGCACCACTGCTGAGAACAAGACCACGACAACTGCCAGGCTGGCCTCAGGTACCCTGGAGCTCTGAATGGGCCTGAAGTGCACAGCAAGTCCTTTAGACTCTCTTGCTGGGCCCTTTACCTTGTGACATCGTGGGTGATACCAAACTTGCCTACAATCCGGTTCAGTCCTCAAGAGCTGAAGTTGCTTTTCTCCATAGAGTAGCAAGCTAGTGACCAGATGGGAGCTTGGCCAGGGCATTTGGTGGCTGGACCCTTGTTTGTCCCCATCTTGGGGCAGCTGACTTTGTGAGAGCCCTTTGGGATTGGTGTATGGCAAGCTGAACACCCTCTAGAGCAGTTTAAAACCACTCTGTTTACATTCTTGAGCCATATTTCTGTGAGCATGCTGTGACAAAGATAAATAGAACATTTGTCCTGCTCTTTTAGACAAAATGTATTTAATAACCATTTCTCACTATGTGTGTGTTTTGTGGGGAACAGCGCGAACGCTGCATGAGGTTTCCCTGCAGGAGTCGATCCGATATGCCCCTGGGGATGCGGTGGAGAAGTGGCTGAATGACTTGCTGTGCCTGGACTGCCTCAACATTACTCGGATAGTGTCAGGCTGCCCCTTGCCGGAAGCCTGCGAACTGTATCCTCCTGGGTGTCATTTGCCCTGTGAAAGGGAGGGGGGTGATGAAAGAATTACACAGAAGGTTTCGGTCTTTGTTTTATGGGCTGTGCTCTAGGGAACATTCTCGGCTTCCCTGCTTTCCTTCTCTAATGTGTTTCTGCCCAGGACACGGGGTTCCTTTTCCCAAGCTGAGGGATATCCACATTTCCAGGTCATCCTAGGATGTTCTGTTTGGGCTTTCTTTGTTTGTTTTGGTTGCTTAACTCCAGACTCAGCTACTATGTGAACAGAGATACCCTCTTTTGCTACCACAAGGCCTCTGAAGTTTTCCTGCAGCGGCTGATGGCCCTCTACGTGGCTTCTCACTACAAGGTAACTGCGACTAGCCCTTGGGTGACCTTCAGCCCTGACAGTCCCCTCTTACCTCATTTTTCACATCTTCTATTACCCAGTGGAGTGGCTCAGGTGACCATGCCACTGGACTTAAATGTCCTGACATTGGCAAGGGCCAGTGATCTTGCTGGAGGGATTGCATTGCCCACTGTTGAGATTGTCTTGGGCTTCCAGCTTTGCCTGCAGAGTGGAATTCCTGTATGTAGCTCCACGTCTGGTAACTGGAGAGATGGAAAGCACTGCGTGTTTTAAAAGGGGTACTTCTGTTTCTTGCCTGAATGCTAAGGTCATAGGCTCAGATGACATAGACTGCTGGTGCTGTTTGACCTGAGACCAGCCTTCTACCTCTGGGCTAATTTTAAAGAGCAGTGAAAATTTAGAATACTTGAATGTCATAAAAACTAAAGGAAAGGACATTTTTTGAGTGTGTAGGTAACATTTTTATGCACAACCTTTAATGGAAGGCTGAAAAGTTGCTGTTAGGAGTGGCAACAGGCTTTCTTGAAATTGCAGCCTCTCAGGACTGAGTTCCCTTCTCAGCTGTGAAACAGGCAGCACTAACTAAGCAGTTCTCCGCCCTGCTCTGCAGCCTCTGCACTTGTGGGGAGATGACAGCAAATGTTTGAGGCTGAGTCCCACTTGAGCCAAAGTGCCCAAGATACTCGAAGGGCACTTTGTTGGGTTTCAGCCCATCGCTTGGCTTTAAAGGGGGAAGGTAGTGCTCCAGTCACCTATTGGTTCCCAGGAGCATCTTGAGTAAAGGGCAAAAAGAGGAGCAGTTCTCTCTGACCCATGTTTGTGCCCACAGAACTCTCCCAACGATCTCCAGATGCTCTCTGATGCGCCTGCTCACCATCTCTTCTGCCTCCTGCCCCCCGTACCCCCCACTCAGAACGCCCTTCCCGAGGTGCTCGCTGTCGTCCAGGTACAGAAGCGGAGGCATCCTGAGGGCATTGATTTTGGGAACCACTTAGGTATGGAGGGTTAATGGCTCAGTAACCACAGGTGGGAAGCTGTTGATTCCTGGTCTGCAGCCAAGAGGCTGGGTGTATTGAGGGAGGCAGTGAGGGTGCATCAAAGCAGTGCACCACTGACAGGAGCCCAAGGTCCCACTGTTCACGGGTGGGTGAAAGTTAGCACTGGCTCCTCCTAAAACGTGACTTGTTTTTGTCCTTTGTTACAAAAGCAGTACATGGTATTTATAAAATTAAAAGAGGCAGACTGGGAAAAAGTGTTTTTAATGCCTGGCATGTGTTTGTGCATTTCTATATCACTTTCCCTTTTCATAGACGTGGGATCACAGTGCTTGGTAATCTGCTTTTTGTCAGTATATCAAGTATTTATAATCTGCATAATTTTTAAAGTCTGCATTGTATTTCATTACATGCACATACCATATTGTTCAACCATTCTTCTATCAGATATTTGAGTTAGTGTGAATTTGCACTATTCTGTACAGAGCTGTATGAGCATCCCGTATCTTATGCACACCATGTGTGGAGACCCTCTTCCAGTGTGGTTTTTGCTTTTTGGGCCAGGAAGATGTCAGCACTCTACCTTGTTAGTGACAGTGTCAGGATACCTACGGGGGATAGCAATGAAACTTCCATTGGAAATGGATGAGTCAATTACAGGGTTGAGCTTGACCTGGAGTGGAAACAGCTGACTTAGCCAGAACCAGTGAACATTAATGATGCTCTGTGAGTGGGCTCTGTACTGGGGCTGGCCTTCCTGTCTGCACTGTTCCTCTTCCCCCACAGGTGTGCCTTGAGGGGGAGATTTCTCGCCAGTCCATCTTGAACAGCCTGTCTCGAGGCAAGAAGGCTTCTGGAGACCTGATTCCGTGGACAGTGTCAGAACAGGTGATGTGCTCTCCCTGGTATATCAGTGTGAATGAAACTGGCTGTGTCAGAGGGCATGTTGTGTTGCTAAGTTGATGGCTTGTGTCTCCCACACAGTTCCAAGATCCAGACTTTGGTGGCCTTTCAGGTGGAAGAGTTGTTCGCATTGCTGTTCACCCAGATTATCAAGGGGTAAACCGTCCTCCTGCCTCTCGGACCTGGTGTGCTGTTACTAGCTGCAGCTGTGTTTCTGACTTATAAGGGCAGTTGTACTTCGCTGTGGGAATGGGAAGCTGGTCAAGGAGCAGGCAGTTCCAGGCACTCTTCTGCTGTGGAGTTTGCCTGGGGCTGGAGTGGTGGTAGGCAGGATGATTGTATGTGCTTGCTCTTCCTTTGTGAGGACAGGGGACCTGTGTAGCAGATCCTTTTGTAATTACCTCCTGTCTCTTAGAAATGCTGTAGGGACATCAGGTTTGGGCTTGCTGATCTGTGGGCCAGAAATCACAGCCAGCCATCCTCACGCTCAGGTGGCAAATAGGCTGTTCTTGATGGGCTAGACAGTGCGAGAGGGAGGGTCATACTACGCTCAGTCCTTAGAGTCTCTGCCTTGGCTTCATTGAGGGGTTTCATTGGTACTTTGTCAAGTGCAGTTTGGCCCAAAGTGAAGGCTTCCTGGGTGCAATACGGGGTTGTAGACGTGACTAGACTGACTAGAACATCTCTTCCTTTGCCCATTTCCCTCTGTGCTTGTTCATAGATGGGCTACGGCAGCCGAGCTCTCCAGCTGCTGCAGATGTACTATGAAGGCAGGTTCCCTTGTCTTGAGGAGAAGGTCATTGAGACATGGCAAGAAATTCACACTGTAAGCAGTGAGGTGAGCAACTTTGGGCTGAACTCCTGGTTTCTGGGAGGACCCTTCCCTGGGTCTTCAGGAGCACCACTGAGAACTAGTTAGTGGTCTGGAGTCTCTGAGTAGTAGCAGATTTCTTCTGTTCTGGAGAAACTGCTTTCTTGAGACTAACTTTGAGATCATCAGCATTGGCATCACCTGGGAACTTGTTAAAGATGCAAATTCTTGAGTCCTGCCCCAGACCTGAATCAGGCTCGGGGTGATGCCCAGTAACGTGTCTTTTTTTTAAATCCTCACCTGAAGATATTTTTCCCCCATTGCTTTTCAGAGAGAGTGGAAGGGGGGGGAGAAACATCTATGTGAGAGAGACACATAGATTGGTTGCCTCCCGCATGTGCCTCAAGGCACATGCCCCTGGCTGGAGTTGAACCCAGGACCCTTTAGTCCAAGGGCCAGTGCTCTATCCACTGAGCAATTGGATAGGGCACTAACATGTGTCTTAACAAGCTCCCAGGTGATGCTGATGCACATTCCAGTGTAAAACCACTGCTCTCTGACCTCTTAGTCCTAGGCCCAGACTCAGGGAAGCGCCCTCTTTCTTGGTGAGCGTGGTTAATACTAGAAACTGTGATGGCTTTTTACACACATGTATTTGAATTTCACAGTGTGCCTGTTGGGGAGGTGGGGAAGGACTTATATTTATGGTCAGGCTCAGAGGTTTGTCACTTCCCAAGTCACAGAGCCATCCAGTGACAGACCTGGATCTTCAGCCCCCATCTTCGGAACCCTGCCTTGTCTCTGTGAATCTGTTTGGCATTTCTAAATCGCTTGGCCCTTCTGTAGAACATGAGTTCTAAGCAGTGTGGTTCCACGCTTGTCTAGGGATTGGGTATACTTAGGAATGAGTACCAGACTCGCTCGTGGTCCTATATTTTAAAAACCATGGGAACAAACCAGGCAGCCTGTACTGGTGCTCATTGTATTCAGCCTAGAGCTTGGTGTGGCAGGTGGTCACTAACCTTCCTTTCCCTCTGCTGGTGGACTATGTTTTCTCCCTGGCATTCTCTAGGCCGTCAGCTTGTTGGAAGAAGTTGTCACTCCTCGGAAGGACCTGCCTCCTTTGCTCCTCAAATTGAATGAGAGGCCTGCCGAGCGCCTGGATTACCTGGGTGTGTCCTATGGCTTGACCCCCAGGCTCCTCAAGTAAGGGTTTGCTTATCTCTTCTCCCAAACCACCCCCTTGGCCTTGGTACCTGAGAATGAGAGTTCTGTGGGCTGTGTCTGTCTTTCCAGTGGGTATTTGTCAGATATTCGTAGATTCTCTCCCCTCCTGGCCCTTCCCAGCTTTGTCTATCTGCTGCTCCCAGAGTGTGCACACAGCGACCTGCTCTCTTTGTGTTTTTGCAGGTTCTGGAAACGAGCTGGGTTCGTTCCTGTTTATCTGAGACAGACCCCGGTGAGTGAGGCTTCTAGCAGAGGGGGGTATGGGTTTGCGGTTACAGTTGGTGGCAGGTCTGTCCTTGCCCAGAGCCCAGGTTTCCCTTGTTGTGCTCTGAGCAGGTGCTCCTGTGCCTCTGATGGACACCAGAACAGCCAACCTCACTGAAAGGCAGTGTGATTGCATATTTATCTCCACTACGCATCTCCTCCTGGTGCATTCTGGGCTTTGTGCTTGATTGTAACAGAGCCGAGGTGCACGTGGACTTGCTTAGCAAGTTCTGAAAGCCTGTAACCTAGGCCCTCGTGAATTTCGTTAAAAAGGAAAAGAAAAGGGGTTTTAGGAGTGTTCATGACAGCCATAGAGATTTTTATGGAAGGGGAAAGAGTTTGTGACTGAGCTACACGGCCAGGGCCCTGACAATGTAACTTTTTTTTCCCCTGAATATTTTTGATTCATGGTTGGTTGCCTCTGAAGGTGAGGAAGCCACAGATATGGAAGGCCGTCTGTGCTTTTGTTCAGTGAATGAATAATTAACGCTGCTGAAGGTAGATAGAGAAGAGGGTGAGTCCTTGGAGTCCTCAGTGTTTAGAGGAATGAGGAGGAAGGTGCAGCAAAGGAGACTGACAAGGAGCCACCTTGATCCCTAGGAGAAAGGTGGGTTTGGGTCGCAGGCCAAGATCAACAGGTGTTTCAAGAAGGGGAGTCATTTGCTATTCAGAGGATAATTAAGATGAAAAACAATTGGCCATTGGACTTCTCAAGCATTAGTGATCTGACCGAAAGCAGCTTCAGTGGAGTGGAGGGATCAATGTGACTGGAGAGAATGGGAGGTGAGGAAATAGACTGAGTAGCTGAGTCATACACAGAGCAAAAGGGAGCAGAGAAACAAGGTAGCTGGAGGGAGGTGAGCTAAGGCAAGTTTATCAGATGGGAGATTCTGGAACATGTTGGTATGCTGCAGGGTATGATCCTGCAGAAATCATGCAAATAATTATAATGTACAGGGAGGGTCTGATTGCAGGAAGGCAGGCCTTGAGGAGGTGGGGTAGGACCTGGAGTGCGGGAGAAGAGGTGACCATCTCATCCTTCACGGGGGAAGGCAAAGGGTATGGGTACGGAAGGTGCTGGCTGGCTGGTTGACTTGGTGTGGGCAGGACGAAGTTCTTTTCTGATCACTTCTGTTTCTCAGAGGAGGTCATCAGAAAAGAGGAAGGTGTGCTGGAGGCTTGATTTTGGAGAGTAGAGAGCCAGTATCCCAGGGTAGTACCCATTGGAGAGGTTGAGGCTGAGATAAATTTGGAGTCAACTGCAAGGAGAATGCAGACCATTGAACTCAGTGTGACCTCAATGTGGCCTTGTGCTGTGTGCTGCTCATTTGTGCTTGGTTTTTTTGTTACACGAATGTCAAAATCCATTACGTATTTTTATGGTCTGGGGCTTTGTTGTTATGTAGTAAACGTTTAAAAACCTGTGGTCACTGTTTTAGCACCTAAAGAAGCCTGCACATGCAAACTGGTTGCCAGCGTGGAAACCCTGGGTTTCACACACAAAGTTTTTGCTGTAAGGCAGCAAAACACATTTATTGGATCATGTGGAGTTTAAGCTGTAATAACTTGGAGTTCATAATCTACCTCACAAGAGCAAGTGGCTCACTTCTCTGGGTCCAGAGCAGAGGTTGTGCTCGAGATCTGAGCAGCTCTACTCCGACACCATGGCGTCTGCTGAGAAGTTGCAGGACAACATGGAATCCCTGGTGTGGGAAATGGTACCACGTGAGAATGGGAAGGCCAGGGCACTTCTCCTGGCTGTGGAAGAGGAAAAGGCCTGTGGGAGCACCAAGCCTCTCACTCTGTGTTCTTACGCATTAACAGTGACGGTTTGTTCACAGAAGGGGGTTTTTGGTGCTAGTTAGGAATTTGTGTTTTCCAGAATGACTTGACCGGAGAACACTCGTGCATCATGCTGAAGACGCTGGCTGATGACAATGAGGCTGACCAGGGAGCCTGGCTCTCAGCTTTTTGGAAAGGTGAACCTGAGTGGAAGGGGGACAGCAGGTGACGGTGGGGGGCTTCCAGATCTCTGACTGTGTGGTTGTACCCCACAGATTTCCGAAGGCGGTTCCTGGCTCTGCTGTCCTACCAGTTCAGCACCTTCTCTCCTCCCCTGGCTCTGAACATTATTCAGAACAGGAACATCGGGAAGCCAGCACAGCCAGGTGAGCCGGGCAGGGCGGCGTGCAGGCTGACAGTGGCTTGGTTGTGTGGAAGTAAGAGGTGGATGTAGTGATCCAAGAAGAGGGAGGGACTGGGAATTGAGGGACCAGTTCTAGGCCTACATCCCCTGCTGACCGCCTCCCGCTCAGCGGGCCCTGCCCTGCCTTAGGGGCACTGTCACACACAGTAGCTTTCTATGTAACAAGACTTTGGGGATGTGATTTGACTTCAGAGATGTCAAATAAGGTTATTCAGCTAGTGAATTATGAACCCTATTTAAATTCTGTGAACCAGGGTAAGTAGTTCTGTTCTGAGGCTCAGGTTCCTCATTTGTGAAATTGTAATAGGAATATGCTTCCAGCCTTCTGTGGCCAACATTTAGAAGCGTGTTGGGCATTATAAATTCGGTTAAAATACAAAAAAAAAGTAAGGATCATTATATTAACAGGTATGAGTTTTTTCTGTTCTGTTGCTAAATATGTATGTATGGTTTGTTTTGCCAGTTATATTTTGAAAAACCTGCTCTCGAGCTGAACAGAGCAGGCACACTTTCTCTGAGGTGGGGTCCTGAGATGTGACAAAGTGGGAGAGAGTGTCAGTTCCTCTAACCCTGGGGCACGGGAGCCTTTCCTTGATCTGGTGTGTTGGCTGGAACTCTGCTTAAAGGTCACATGCCAGTGGTCCCCCTCCCTGTGTGGCCCAGAGCTGCCTCCCCTTTGCTGGAGAAGGGTCAGGGCTGCCTGGGTGGTACGTTATGTCGGTGGGCAGGCACTTTCTGGAGGCTCCTCTCCTGTTCTGCTCTGGCTGAAGGCCCAGTGGAGGAGCATCTGTCAGGGTGCCACCCAGGGACTGCCCTGACCCATCTGGCTCTGTCTCATGTGCAGCCCTATGCCGAGAGGAGCTGGAAGCCCTCTTTCTCCCCTATGACCTGAAGAGGCTGGAGATGTATTCACGGAACATGGTTGACTATCACCTCATCATGGACATGATCCCGGCCATCTCCCGGATGTATTTCCTGAACCAGCTCGGGGACCTGGCCCTGTCCGCTGCCCAGTCGGTAGGTCACCTGCTGCTGTGTGCTTTGTGGAATGATTCGCATGCAGGATATCTGGTTGGATGTTTTGACATAATTTTGTGTGTTTAATCCCTTGAGGTTCTGGTAGGTGGGTGGGTAGTGGTCTCCTGTGGTATAGGTGGGGATCCCCCTTGGGCTCTGAAGTTGAGTCAGCTATACAGCTATATAGTTAGCAAGGAAGAGCTGCAGTTTGATCCCACATTTTTCTGCTGTGGTGCCTTCACTCTTACTCTGCCTTAGCAGAGGTCTAGGAGCACCCTAAATTTTTTTTTTTTTTTAAGTATGTCTTTTGATTTCAGAGACAGGAAAGGAGAGGGAGAGAGATATAGAAACATCAATGATGAGTCATTGATTGGCTGCCTTCTGCATGCCCCCTACTGGGGATTGAGCCTGCAACTGGGGCATGTGCCCTGACTGGGAATCGAACCTCCATCTCCTGGATCCTAGGTTGATGCTCCACTGCTGAGCCACGCTGGCTGGGCCCAAACTTTTTAATGTTGCTGTGAAGCAGCTGTTTGTCAGGATAAGTTAGTTTGGGGATTTTAGGAAGAGGGAGCGTTTCTCGGTAGTTTCAGTAACAGGATGAAAGAGAAAATTCCAGAATACACAGGGGCAGTTGATATTTTGTATACCAGATAGCTTTGTCCAAAGAGAGCAGCTCTGTTCTCAGTGCCATTTTAATGGGCAAGGGCCTGTCTGTCAGCCACTCTGTGAGGCTTTCCATCCTCTAGGCTCTTCTCTTGGGGGTCGGCCTGCAGCATAAGTCCGTGGACCAGCTGGAAAAGGAGATCGAACTGCCCTCAGGCCAGTTGATGGGACTTTTCAACCGGATAATCCGCAAAGTTGTGAAGGTAACCTTGGCCGAGGGCAGGGTTTTGGTCTTTTTCTTCTAATAAAACAATCCTACTCCCTGCCCCAAGATGAATAGATTTTAACATTTGGCCATATTTGCTGCAGATCATCTCACACGCGCACACACCTTCCGGAGAAATGGGGCTTCAGCTGTATTTGTGGTGCTCTCTCCCAGAGGTACCACTGCTGGGGACTTGATATCTGTGCAGTCTATACTTTATACTCTTACCACGAATGCATATACTCCTAGACCATGTAGAGTTTGTGCTCATTGACTGGGTCCCTGCTGCAGCTTCATCTTCTGCTTCTTGGCCATTGTCTTTTGTAGCTATTTAATGAAGTGCAGGAAAAGGCCATTGAGGAGCAGATGGTGGCAGTGAAGGACGTGATCATGGAGCCCACGATGAAGACCCTGAACGATGACCTGGTATGCTGTTGAAGGCCTTGTGAGCGCTGAGTGCTTGCCCGGTCCCCTTTAGCAAGCGTCAGGGCACTCACTGTGCTCAGTGGTGGTGATGTTCTGTAGGTGTGGGCGACCTTCCCTCCCCATGTGTCCCTGCCCTGGATGTGCCTGAGTACACGTGGGTTGCTCTGCCTTCCACTGAGGGAAGTGTATGTACAGGCAGTCCAGCTGCTGCTGTGAACTTTTTGTTGGTCCTTTTAGACTTTTCAAATGCACATTGAATATTCACATACAGTTTAGTAGGAGCTGCTTCCAACAGTGGAGGGGTGAACTGAGGAGCAGGAGATGTTTCCTCACTGAGGTGTTATTCTACCCTCTCACCTTCTTCTGTGGTTTGTTCCCTTGCTTGACTCTGACCCACTCTTTGGGGCCTTGGCCACAGGATGAAGCAGCAAAGGAATTCCAGGAGAAACACAAGAAAGAAGTGGGGAAGCTGAAGGACATGGACCTCTCTCAGTAAGGCCCCTTCTGCTGCTTGTGGGAAGTGAAGGTTCTGCCTTGATTTCAAGTGCCCATAGAATCTGCCTGCAGGTCTCTTCTGTTCCTCATCCTGGGTCTCGGGTTCCCTGGAAGCTGTTTCGTGGGATTACTTTTGAAGCACTAACAGCTAAAAGCCTCCTAATTCACTATTTGCATGATTTTGGAGGACTTGGTTTCCCCAGATCAGCTCTACCATGTTGACTTTCAGATCATGCTCCCGAGACCCCTAGGATCCCATGTCATGCCTCAGGTCCCCAGGGAAGGGGATTGAGCACCCACTTTTAATGGCCACTTTTCTATAGTTGGTTTCTGCTTGTGAATTTGTTTGAAGAAAGGATTCTGCTGCCAACATATCCAACAAAACCCTTGCTCTGGAACCCTCTGTGTACTGGGAATCCTAGTGCCCTTTGAGCTACAGCAGGGCATTGCCTACCCTGTGGATTGATGTGAATAACAGTTCTAGAACTAGTGGCCTTCATGCCTCTCTGACCTTAGTCCTGCAGTGGCCGGATCATTACTGATGGTGGTTATTGGACATGGGAGATGGGGAGGTGTCCAGGAGGTCCCTGGGCAGGGTTCAAGCTCTTCCCATCAGCTTTGCAGTATCAAAACCTTTACCTGCCAGCATTGCTGGATCCCAAGAGGTGGGGCAAGGTGGGGTGGAGGAGGCACACTTCCAGGGTTTGTGGGCATGTTTGGAGCTAGGAGTGATCAAGAAGGTGGTGGGGGTGATGGGAGGCTTCTTCGGTGAGCAGTTAATCAGAGTCAGGGAGAAGTTGGGCAGCTGCCTTCTGTGCAGGACTGGCCTGTTGCGGACCCCTGCTGGCAGGCTGGCTGACCCTCTGCTCCATTGAAGGTCATGTCCTATGAGGCTGGCTCCAGGTCTCCTGTCCCACCGCAGGCGTCTTCTCGCTGCTGCTCCAACGCTGATGCAGCTCAGCCTGGCTTTGGTCGCAAGGCGTGTCTGATAGGAATGTTGTCACTATTTTATTCTCTTTTAAGCATTCCCTTTTCTTTAGAGCAGGCTTTGATATTTTTCTCTATTTTTTAGATACATAATCCGTGGGGATGATGAAGAGTGGAATGAGGTTTTAAACAAAGCTGGGCAGAATGCTTCGATTGTCAGCCTGAAAAGGTGAGGGCCTTGCATTTGACAGGAGAGACATTCTGGCCTCTGTGCTTCTCTAACTTCAGTTAGGAAATAGGAGGTTGGAGCACAGACTTTGACATTTGCTGCTTTTTGTGGCATCCCTCCTACAGATCAGGTAGGGCCATCTCCTAGGCTGGACCTCAGCATACCTCATATTTCCTAGGCAGTAGGGAGATGGGCTCGAGGGGACTGGCCCAGAGCTGCCAGGCACTGAGCACTTCCATGCGCTTTAGTGCCGTGTCCAGCTCGCCCTCAGAACAACACAGGCAGCTGTTTTATTACCATCATTGCTTTATAAATATGAAGTAACCAAGGTTCGAAGGTGTTAAGTACCTTCCCAAGAAGCATACAGCTAGTAAGGGGCAGAGCCAGAATAGGACCAGGTTTGTCCACTGCAGGGCCCATGTGTAACCTGAGTCAGTACTCCTCGGGCTTTCTTCTGATTTAGGAAAAATAAAACAACAACAGCACACCAGGAAGTGGTGTAGGGTTTGCCTGGGTGTCTCATGCTTTCTATTAGGGTCGCTGGGATGATATGTCTGGTTTTCAGGGTAACCCTGAGTGATGAGTGATGGGAGAGAATCTTCCTGGTAATGCCTTACATTTTGGGGGGCTTCTTGGGAGAGGGGAGCATACAGGACTCTGAAGAGAACTCCAACTTCAGATGTTAAGATGTGGGTTTGTGCCCTGGTTGGGTGGCTCAGTTGGTTGGAGGTCTGCCGTACACCAAAAGGTTGTGGTTTTAGTCCCTGGTTGGGGAGGCAACTGATGTTTCTCTTTCATATTGGTATTTATCTCTCTCCCCCCACACACACCTCTCTCTCAAAATCAACTTATGAACGATGTGGATTTGACCCTCCACAGACTAAGAGCTCAGTCAGGGTAGGAACTGGGTTGCTGTGCTGTGTCCCCAGCCCCCAGCCCAGTGCTTGGCATGCTGATAGGCTTACAGAAAACAGTGATGTCTGACTGGCTGTTCTTACATTGTTTCAGATGATGGAAACCCTTTTTCAGACTAAGCAGTCTGAAAGGTGTTAGATCTGCATGTTTCATTCTTTCTCTTTCTACTGCTGTTTTTCCCCCCTCTAGTGACAAGAAAAGGAAATTAGAAGCGAAACAAGAACCCAAACAGAATAAAAAGTTGAAGAAAAACAGAGACATGAAGCACAAAAAAGATATGAAACTGAAGCGGAAGAAATAGTGAAGAGAAACTTGGGCATCAGCAGCTGACTCATGAAGAGGCCCTGACTTTCTGAACTGCCTCTGGCTGGACTGGGCGGTGGCTGCACCATTTAAAGCAACTCGAGCCCCATCAGACCCTGAAGCTGGCCTGGAATTCAGTGTATGCACCAAGCTTGGCTTAAAGCAAAGACACTTCTGAATGGGTCTGCTTGGACCTTGACGGTGGGCAAACCTCTGGCCCTGCTAAGGGTCTGTCTCCTCCCCCAGGCCTGGCCTTCCTTTCCCATAAGTTCATATTTTGTGTTGGGCCCAGCTTTCTTTATTCCTTCCCACGCTTGTAGAAGCCACTCTGACTCTTGTTCCTTCTCAGGTGTTGAGTACACTGCTGTCAGGTGATGCCCAGGAGGTTGCTGGTGGAGCACTGAGGCCTCTTGTCATGGACTTGTCCAGACACCTTGAGGCCTGGGGTAGCGGGAGCCCTACCAGGTGGCCGTGGGATGTGTACTGCTATACACCATTCCACTCCTGGCTCCTGCAGGCTGCTGCTCAGTGCCCCAGAGAAGCCCGACCTAATTCAGGAAGGAGATGACATTTGAGTTCCCCAAACTTACTACTTCATCCACTTCGGAAAAAATATTGTGAAAGACCCCTTCACTAGCAAGGGTGAGGGAAGGATAGAGTGTCTATTTTTAATAAATAACATCCTAGAAAGATCAACCGCCTGTGGGTACTCATTGACCACACAGGTGGAAGTGACATCATGCCCTGTTTCTTCTGGTGGATCTCAGCTGCCGGGTAGACTTTGGGGAGTATTGGAGTCGAGACTGAGGTTGGGCAAGGTGGCCAGGGCTTGCCAACCCAGGAGCCTGTGGGATAAGTGCTGGCATTGCCAGCACTCATTGGTTATTCTGAGGGACTTAGTGTGGTGCCTGGAAGCCAGCTAGCTGTGCCTCTTTTCCTCCCTAGCTCCTGTCAGGTGGTTTGGACCCTTCCATCTGTTGGGAACAGAAATTATGTGGTGGCTTCACACATATTTTGGTATGTTTGTTTGATGGTATCTATTTTCAGGTCCCCAGTCCTATACTGTGGTATTGAAACCTTGACCCTGAAGGTCCACTGTAGTATTGTTCCTTATTCATGTCACCAAGTTCAAGAAGAGCTCCAGGTGGAATCAGCTCTGGTGCTTTTCTCTGATCTTTCTGTCTTCTGCCACAGCATGCGAGGCGAGGACAACTAGGCAGTGCCCTGGTGGCATCAGTCTTCAGCTTCTACTCTGTTCTTATTTTTACCTGAAAAATTCATGTGGCCTTGGTTACTGATCTTCATTGCTTTTTCTTAGACTTTAAAAGGACTGGTCTTCTATGAGTCGAAATAGATTCTTTCCTCGGCCCTGATATGTAGCCAGGTTCCTAGCTGGACAACGCATGGATGGTGAGCTAAAGGGGAGCCTCTGGACCAAAGAAGATTAAACAGGTGACCCAGGGGACTCATGGCCACAGGGAGAACAAACTCTGTCCCCTGCATCTCTCTCCATAGCCCTAGGGGCCTTTTGTCTCCTGGCTCTGCAACTTCCTGCCTAAAGACCCCCTGTGAAGTCTGCAGGAGAGTTTGCTGAGGAGAGATGAAAATAATTTCTGATCCATTCTCTGGAGAGTGCCTGAGCCTACCTTTAAAAGATCTTAGGAGAGGCCATAAGCTAAATCAGTATCTCAAATGGGCTGAGCTGGGTGTATCCTAACTCTCCTGTCTTGTCCCATGTCCCACAGGTGTGGGGCCTAGCCTGAGCCCTCGCACTAGTCTCTAGCCCCAAGGCCTGCCCTCTGCTTGGCTCCAGGGCATAGGAAGAGGTGCTCTGGAGCAGACTGCCTGGCTTTGATACTGGCTCTGCCCTGACCCTCACTGTGACCTTGGGTGTACCACTTAGCTCTCCCTGCTGTCTGGGTCCACATCTGTAATATGCAAGTGGTAATGACAACACTAGCTCAGGGCTGTGGTGAGGGGTAGAACGGGAAAAGCTAACAGTGCCTGGCAGGCAGCAAGTGCCCACCAAGTCTGAGTTCTGTGCCCAGAGAGTGGCAAGGCGTGCTGCAGTTACCTGCCAGTGCTGACTTACTGAATGGGATTGGCTTTGTTCACAACCCACAACCTGAGCTAGAAGAGGAGTCCCCTTGGGCAGCAAGGAACGTGCATTTCACAGTCAGACTGTCTGGCGCTGGCTTTGTGTCTTCCAGCGAGGTTTGCTTCCCTCTTCCACACAAAAAGCAAGCAAACGTTTTGCCTCCTGTGTACAGTCCTGGTCCTTTTATTTGCAAAGTGAATGTTCCTGAACAGGTCTCTGCACTTCCTGGTTGTGATCTTGGATTCTCCTCCAAATCTGAAAGAGCATGCCTCCCCCAGGCCTCACCATCTGGCCCCCAGACAGTGACATCTGTAAAGCTTGCTGTCACAGGAGCTCTCACTTGCGAAATGAATTCGGCCAGGCCGGCTATGAATGCTGCCACCAGGACATGGGGAAGGGGCTGAAGAAGCCTGAACAAAGGAGATGCCTAAATGGTCTTCATCCTGGAGCAGGGAGGGGCTGATACAGGCCTGCTTCAGCGCCTCCACCGCTCATCTGGCCCAGCAGCCCCAGAGGACTACCGAGTGACCAGGAGACGACACAAAGGGGGCTGCTGAGGCTGGGGGAGGGGAGGGAATAAGTGACTGTCACCTTGGAAAAATGTAGACTCATTATCTGAGGCCATTACACCAGCCGCCAGCCCTCAGGCCTGAAGGAGGGGGTGGGGCTGGAATCCCCTGGGGCCTGAATTTGGTTCAGACTTGAGACTAGAGAGAAGGGGTGTGCTCATTCTGTAAACAATTGGTTAAAGTTAAAATGTGTGGATTCTGCAAAGGGGGGGCCTGTGTGGAAAGGGGAAGGCTTGAGGCTTTCCCTCCTGTGCTTTAGGCAGCTCTGGAGGAGAAAGCTGTGATTACCCTGCATTAGCTTCTGTCAGGTAACCGGCAGACAGCAGAAAGGAAAGGGAGGCCTCTGGAGCAGGAAAGCAGGGGCCAGGCCCTGTGGAGGAAGGTGGTCTCGGTGTTAGCCTTGGGGGCCCTGATTGGACTGGGGCCCTCTCACATTTGAAGGAGGTTTTTTGGGGGGAGGAGGCCTGGGCTCAGCAGCATAAGCGCAAGCTTATCGTTGCCTGTGGGGCAGCTGGAGTAGAATGAAATCCTACCAGTAGAGAACTGACACTTTCCACCCCTTGTTTCCTAGGGACTCTTACTAAGGAGTAGTTCACTTTCCTCCCACCAACTCTGCCCTTCGCTGCTGATAGCCTGCAGCAGGCAGCTGGAGGGTACCTGGCGCCCATGCTCAGGAGCAGTGGCCCTGAGGAGGCCTGGCAGCTAGGATAAGGTAAGGTGACCACTACTTCTGTTACAGCCTCCTAGCCCCTTGGAAGAACATCTGATTGTCTTCTAATTATTGTTTTAAGTGCTCTCAAAAGAGTGTTTTCCTACTGCATGCAGGCTCCAAGGGGTCCCACCCATCTATCCTATCACCTTCCCTTTAACCTGCCTTTCCCTCCAAAAAAGCAAAGGAAATGGCTGAGCCCCATCCAGAGCCAGCTCAAAACTAGATCTTGCTTTTTAGGCTGGGTAATGGACTGAGAGGCATCCTGCAGGGGTGGGGGGATTGCGAGGTGGGTGGACACAGACCCCTGAAGGGCAGCCCCTGTAGATAGGGAGGGGCAACCCCTCATCCTCCCTCACAGGCCCTCTGCCAGGAGGGTGGTGCTGTGGTGTGCACCTCCTCCCTCTGCCCCCCAGAGGGCGCCATATGTCCATGCAGGGCCCTCTCCCCGCCAGGCTGGGCCTCTAGCTGCCCCACCTGGGCCCCACCCAGCACAGCTGGGCAGGGGGCCTTTTCTGGTGCAGACCCCATGAGGTCTTCATGTTGTCCTCCAACTCCTGCCGCCACTGTCAGTATTCCCAGTGACCTTAGCAATTTCTTTTCCCCTACAGCCAGGAACCCCTGGACTCTGTACCTAAAACAAACTATAACTGGGTCCGGAAAACCCTTGGGCCTGAGTCACTGGCTCACTGTCCTCCCTCCATTACCAGGTAGCACAGCGAGCTCGGGCTCAGCAGGTCCTGGAGGCAGCAGCCACCAAGGGACAGGTGCCCCATCATCAGGCCAGACCTGGATGGAGAAGGCCCTGCCCCCACCTCACTGGGCCATACAGGTTTGGACTATGCAGGAGTTTACAACTAACTGTTAAGATGACCCCAACAACAGCTCCCATATTGGGGCTGGGGGAGGGGGTCTGGGCTCAAGGAAGATCAGAAAAACCCCTGACAGGTGTCTTATTCCAGTCATCAGGCTCTGGTCCCTCCACACAGACACCTTTTCTGTCCAGCTCAATGGTACATACGTGCTTAACAAATGGGAACTATTTTATATTATCAGCTACCTCATTTGACAGGAAAACTAAGGCCCAGCAAGGGAAGCACAGTAAAACCTCGATATAACAGACTAATTCGGGAGGGGGGGGAGGGTATCTGTTAAAGCCGAAAGTCTGTTAGATAATAAAGTAGTTTTTCCAAATGTGTATGTTAAAAAATTGACAAATTAGCTAGTTTACATGTTTTTACTTATATAGGCACGTTTGTGTAATTAAAATTATGTATAAAAAACTTAATTTCACAGAAAACTTTTCTATATGTGTTACAGTAATTTTAAACTTATACTGACTAGGTCTAGTAAGTGTGTGCAGTCACCAGTCACTGCAAGTAAAAAAATGCACACAGCTGGGGTGTAGCTTAGCACATGTCGGGAACATCTACTGGCAGTGTTAAAACTGCTGCAGAAAGTCTCACCCTGAGACAACAGAACCAATTCCTGTGTGTGATGTGGTGTGATCATGTTCTAGTCATTCCTCAAACATTGTTTATGAGTGGTGACTCTTGGATTTAAATATGTAGACTGTAGTTGTAAATATGTAATATTTATTTACATTGGCAAAGTTACTACAGTGTATTTTCCAACATATGGCCTATTTGCTAAAATTCGTTAAAAATAACTGAACTAATAACCAAAAAATAACCTGTTAATTATAAGCAAATCTTGGTTAAAAGCATTTAATAATTAACAGGGTGTTAATTTTCACATATATATGACTGGAAATTTTGTCTGTTAAATCTGAAGTCCATTAAATTGAGGTCTGCAAAATCGAGAGTTTACTGTACTTGCTCTCTGCCATGGAGTTGGTGAGGGTTGGACCCAGGCTCAGGTCCTGGGTGAGGTGAGTGAGGGTGGCCACAGCATGGCTTTTGGTGGGGAGTCCTTTCTTTCTGAGAGACAGAAGCCCCGAATAAATGGGGAATCAGCTCTGAGTTGTCTTCCTGGTCCTAAATGGGCTTCTCCCAGCTCTGAACTCTGAGCAACTCTACCAGGAGTAACGAGGCCAAGGTCATTGTTAACAGGTGTTTATTGTTAATAAAACCATAGTACATTTACAGTAAGTGACATTAATGTACAGTTACAGTATCATACAATATTACAGCAATAAAATAATGCCTCTTCCTTTGTACATCCAGCTCAAGGAGCCAGTCGAAAGTATTTTCCAGGATCACAAGCCCTGGGGGCTTTTCAAGGTGACCCAAACAACACCGCCTCAAGTGCCCAGGACTTTCGGTGAATAAATAGTTTCTAAGGTACGACCAGACAGCCCAGGAAGGCTACACCTAGAGTAAGCTGTCCAGAATGCTCCCCCAGTGTCTGGTCATAAATATGACAAGAGTCCAGGCTTGGTGCTACGTCTCCACCCTAGGAGAGCCTGGAGCCTGCAGGTCGTGGCAGGTAGGAGAGGGGAAGCAGCCGGCCTTTTTCCTAGCCCTTCCCTTCTACCCAGGCTCCGACCCTTAGCTCCCAGTAACAAGCGTGTGCCCTGCTCCCCTGTCCAGATTAAAGGACTTGTTCTTGACGCTGAATCTACCCCTTTATGCTGGCCCCTAAACTCAGCAGCAAAGACAAAAGCTGAGGCCACCAGGCTCCTCTATGTACCCCATGCACCCCTTCCGCCTGGGGCTCAGTTGGAAAGCTGGGAAGGCATCGCTGGGAAACTGCCTTCCACCACTAACTGAGCAGGTTGGTGGTCCCCAGAAGAGGCCTTCTGTAGGCCCAGATATCAAAGAAAATGGAACTCAAAGTGACCCTCTGAGCAGGGATCCCCAGGTCCCTGGAGGCCCATAGGAAGCCTTTCAAAGGCACAACTTTGAGGAGTAAGTTCAGAGATCTGACTTTGAAGAAAAGTACTAGCTTTGGAACAAAATGGCCTGGGGCCTAGACTATACACTCTATACATTCATAGGATGCCCATGAGCCCCAGGTGGGACAGTCTGAGCTTACTGAGGCCCCGGGAGCAGAGGTGGTTAGAGTTCAGGGGACATCACTGGAGGCTATTTAGAGCAGAGGCGAATCAGGATCAGCTGCTGACCTCAAGGGGAGAAGGGGAGCACAAGAGTGAGTAAACGGTGGCTCTCAAGGTGCAAATGGTATTGGGGGAGGGGAGGGCTGCCCTTTTCCCCTTACTGGTTGAGCGAACAGCTCTGGGACAAAGGGGTTGAGGGTGGGCCTACCAATGACAGGTGGGGTCAGGGCACATCTGACTACCCCAGGACAGACCGACACCAGAGGATGTCTGGGGAAAGGGAGAAACAGACCCGTGTGCCTGGCTCCAAGAGGTTCTAGAACCATTCCCCGCCCGGTGGGGCCCTGGTACGTTGACAGGCCCTAGCTACACAGTGGTCCAGATGCCTCCAGGAGCACTTGCTCCCAGCCTTTCCCAGCCCAGATGCCTAGAGACAGTGCCCCAACCCGGAGGGGGCTGAGTGTGCTCAGCCCCTGCCCGCCTCACACCCGGGAGGTGATGTAGACTGAGTGCACGCGCTCGGCCAGGGTGCTCTGCAGGTCCTGCAGTGGGTCCAGGCCCTGCACTTTGCTGCTGCGGCCGTAGATGAGCTGCCGGAAGGAGTCCTGTTCAAGCAGGGCCTTCATGTGCTTGAGGAAGAAGCCCTCACAGAACAGGGCCAGTTCTGGGGCATTGTGGATCTGTGGGGTCAGGGAGAAGGGGTGAGACCCATAGCCTAGCACGACCCCATTCACTCCCAGGTGTTACCCATGGTGGCAGTCCTGGGGGAGGCAGGCCCTGTCTCTGCAGCTTGAGGTGACTTCCTCCTTATCTGAATTCCCTCCCTAAGCTCCTCCTTCAGGTTGGACTGATTGGGTTCAAATCCCAGCTGTGCCACCAGGAATATCACTGGTCTCATTCCTGGCCCCACTATCTTCTTTGGCTGTGTCGCATAGGGGATGGTTTGTTGAATGGCAGTTATCCCCATTGGACTGGACGCTTCATACTAAGGACCATCCACTGCTGGGTGTCCAGCATCCAGCACAAAGCCCAGCACACAAGTGTTCATGTCGTAGAACAGTAACTATTTTAACTCAAGTAAATCTGTGGAATGGATTTGACTCAAACTTAGCCATCTGCCCCCAGTCCCACCGCCTGGGGGCACAGCTGGAATGTGAGCTGGGTGCCATGCTCATCTCACAAGCTGCATGTGGCCCTACTGGGCGGCAGTGACCTCAGGTTAGAGGGAGTTTAAACCCTCCCTCAGCTCCTTACACTGCCTTCAGAGCTGCCCAGGCACCTGCATTTCTAGTCTGGGTGGGTGGAGCAGAGTGCATCAGGATGCATCTGGTGGGCATCTGGGGTCCTCACCTTGGCGTACTTGTAGGTGTTGACAGCACTCTCCACGCTGAGGGTCTGGGAGCACAGGATCTCGCAGTGCCTCTGCAGGGCATCCAGCTGGAACAGGCTGGCAGCCGACAGCAGCTGGTGGGAGGCAGAGGCAGCCTTGGGTATGCAGGGCCAGGCCTGGGGCCCCAGGCATCACAGAACAGAAGAGGGCTGCATACGCTGCTTCCTCCCAACCCTCAGGGCCCCACCCACATCGGCAGGACAAGTCTGATGGCCTGATTTATTTCTGCTCTAGGCCAACTAAGTATTTGATCGGATACCTAGGTGGCACAGGATGGACAGATGCTAGCTGGGATTTCTGACCTAGGAGGTCTTCAACTCTAAGCTACAGGCTTCATCTACATGACCTTCTAGCTAGGTGCCCAGGCAACAGCAGGTCTGTTTTCTAAGTGGTGAGGAGGTGAGGGGGAGGCCCAGCCATCTTCTGATCCTCCTGGGCCTACCACCCCCATGGGGAGTCCCTTTCTAACTCCTGGGTGTGGCCAGAAGGTCAGGCTCCATGGGTGCACAATTCCCTAGCCTCTCAGAATGGCCCTTCCTGTCACACAAAGAAAACGGACCAGGAGGTCCTTACAGAGCCACCTTCCTCCCCTCATCTCTCCAAATGCTGAAAGCAGGGTTGAGACCTGGCAGGTGTCTCAGGCTAGAGAGATTCGGACAGGTGAGCACTGGGCCCTGGGCCTGAGCAAATCAGCCAGCTCCTCACCTCCAGGACGTCGGTGGTAGGGATGTCCATGGATTCTGTCCCTCCATGGTACAGGTACTGCATCATCATCTGCAGTGGGAAGAGGCCCCGTGTGAATGTTGAATGGACCCGCAGTGCCAGAGTCCTCACCCTGCTCCCAGAATGCCATTCCAATGTTCCCCCGTGGACCTCAGCCATGTCCATCCCTCCCTATGTTAATGTCTGCAGGTCTTCTATTCCCGCTTAAGCTGAGACTCGAGAAGTCAACCCCAAGACCTTTCTCTCCAGCCTCAGGATAGACTACTAGCCCAGGAGGGAAGATTCTATTCACAGCTGGGAAACTGAGGCCTGAGAAGGGAAGCTGACATGGCTCAAGTCACTCAGTTCCCCTGACACTCACGCCAGAGCCCTCCGAGTGCACCAGGTACCGTACTGATCATTCCTCCTTGTACCTAAATTCTAAATATGGGGCTGGGAGGGAGGTTGGGCCTGAGGGGACAACAGTTTCACTGGCTGCCCTCAGAAGCCAGCCCCAGCTTTCCTGTCTGTGCTAGGACTCCATGTGGAGGTGACAGCCAGATCCGGGCCCTCTTGGATTCAATCCCTTGGAAAGTAAGCACAGAGCCGCTGGAGTCTGGGCCAGAGGCCACCTGGCTGACTGGAGCTCTTGGGATCAGAGGGTCCTTCCTGGGATATCAAATGAGGTGGCCCAGGAGGGGGGAAACTACATTCAGTCCTGCTGAGGTCTGATTTACAAACTTTGCCATCACACTGGAGCCTAGGGAGGTTCCTAGTTGGAAAAAGAAAAATGTCCCTAGTTGGCTGAAGAAACAGCCCCAGCAAGGAGCTGGCAAGTGTGTAAGTAAACACAGCTCCTGCGGCACAGTCGGGCTCTGTTAGGATGGGGCCCAGGCTGGAAGAGGCACCAGAGGGTCTAGGGAAGGAGCCCAACCTCTGGGGCGAGGAGCAGGGAGGTGGCCTGGCCAGCTTCATCTTAGCTAGGGCCAGTCCTGGTTCCTTCCCCATGGGGGAGTGGGGGCTCCCATGGCAATCTTGCCATTACACATATGTGCCTGTCCCTCCAGGTGGCCTGTGCATCGGGTGGGCCCATGCCTGGGTTCCTCCACCCCACCCCCTCTCACCATGCTGGGCACGTACAGGACAGCTGTGAGCTATCAGTGCAAAAGCCCCTGGCCCATGGCTGGGAATGGAGCAGGTGGGCAGGTAAACCCTCCCAGGATTCTTTGCTAAAAGATGGCCTCGGGGCAGCCCCTTGGCAAGAGGGGGTGTGGGCTGGGAGACAGGCAAGGCCCAGCCATCTGTGGTGCCCTGGGGTCACTAGAATGCACAAGTCCACAGAAGTCAGACCAGAATTGTGCCCTTGGGGCTTTGCTGAGGGAGCTGGGTGGCTGGGAGGCAGAGGTGGATTAATTTTGCACAGCCTGGCACTCCTCAGGGAGAACGTGGGTCATCTGCCTCCCAAAGCAGGCAGCCTTTGGGGCTGGTGGGTCTGCTCTTGGAAGGGTCCCAAGCAGGATCCCCTGCTCTCCCCCCACACCTATCCCACTATTTCACAGCCCTGCCTCCTGGAGCGCAGGGGCCTGGGCCTGTTTACTGCCATCTCTCTAGCACCCATAAATGACTAAAGGGAGCATGAGAGAAACAGCCATTTCAGATGGGGGCTTTTGGGAGACTGATCTCTCCCATTAGGTCACGAGCCTGTCCTGTGAAGGGCCAGGACCCCCCCTCCCCACTAGTTGCTTTTTGACCTCAGTCTCAGCCCCTAATGGTCACCCAGCAGCCCAGAGCCCACCACACAGCCTAGAGACCTGTAGTTGCCTCTCTCCAGAAAGGAGCTCTCAGCTGGGGTTCGGCTAAGGTCCCAGCCTGTCTCCTCCCGACCTCGTCTGCTACAACTGGCAGACAGCCTGTGGCCTTTCCATTATGCAACCTCTGATGTTCTCCAAAGCTCAGAGATCAAAAGACCTGACCTTGATCTTCCACAACCAGGAGGGAATCATCATGGCTCTTTCTGCTCGGCCAGCATGGCTCCAGAGGACTGATGCAGCCAATGCTAGTGCTTCTTGACCCGTGTGCACATGGCCTACCTCGAGGTCTGGGGTGGGGCCTGAGGTTCTGCATTTCCCACAGGCGCTGGGGCAGTGTCTGTGTGCGGGAGCCCACACGTGTGTGGTGTATGCCTATTCTTACACGACTGTCAGTTTGCCCAGACCCCTTGTCCAGAGGGAAAGCCCAGGACCTGTGAGACAGGCTCTGAAGCTACAGCCCCAACAATGGAATGGTTACCTTTTCTGGGTGCTCCAACCTGACTACTGATTTTGCAGAACACGGGGGCACTGGGGATGGAGTGGAAGATTATGACTGACCCACAGCTGCCCCCCACCCCAGATGGATGGGCTCCTGGGGGAGAAGGTATTTCCCCAAAGCGTGCAGCGCAGAGATCCACTCACCTGGAAAATGTGGTACTTCATGTCGCTGATCTCAATGGTTTTGCTGCTGTCGCCATCTTGTTCTGATTTATTGGTCATCAGCGTCTTGAACCTGGAGCAAGGAGACGAGATAGGCGGGTCTTGAATGTGACTCCGTCACTGCGGTGATGGCGTCATCCATCACCTGACCGGTCACCGGGGGACGGAGTGATTTAAAAAATCACTGCCATGCTCCAGAAGTATTCTCAGTGAGTGACATTTTACATCACCCTGGGCTGACAGCTGGGCCAAGCCCTGCTCTGTCCCCACTGCCCCCATATGAATGACCATGGCACCTGTGGCCAGAAGGAACTCTGGGTCTCATCCCTTCTGTCCCGCTACCTCGTGTCCCCTGTGGGGAGGGGGGGCTCTTGCTGTGTGATACACCCTGAGGGGCTGCCGGTATAGCCCCAGCCTCTTCCCCAGGAGGCTGGCACCTACCTGTTAGAAGCTGTCACCAGCAGGACTTTGTGTGCATAAAACAGCTTTCCTTCCACTAGGAAGGTCACATCCGACATCTCCTTGTTGTTCAGAAAGTGAGGATCTGTACCCAAAGGGAAGAATGAAGGGAAATGAGGAGCCCACCTCTGGGGTGCCAGTTTGGGTGGGATACAAAGGGGAAGAATGGAGGCCAGGGCCTTGGCACCTGGGAGGGATGGAAGGGTGAGGAAGGGAAGGAGGAGGGGAGGGAGATCTGGAAGGTCTGGGTGGTGGGTGGCTGGGCAGGTGGGGACAGGCCTTCACCTAGTCTGGCCGGCAGCGTCTTCCGGATCTCTGGGATGCTGGGGATGGGGCTGCTGCCATAGCAGTGTGTGAAGATGGCAGCCAGCTGCTGGATGACGGAGTCGTTCTGGGGTGGAGAGGCAGAGAGAGGCTGTGAGCCCACCCACTTTGGCAGTCTGCTTACAGCTGAAGATCCGTCAGGCTGATTTAAAAATACATCAGGCTGGGATTCGAGCAGCCGCTGTCTTTTGTTCCTCCTGGATCTGCCTTGGCAAGAGATGCCTATCCCTTCACCACTGAATCCCCAGATTGCCTTTTTGGCCAGGCTCCAGCCCAGACAAATGCATGGCTTCTGCCCTCTGCAGCCAGGCAGTGCAAGTCTGGGTGTGGGGCAGGTGTCCACCTGTGTGCCTAAGGGTGCCTGTGTCATCCGTCTGTGTCTGTGGGGGGGGTGTCTCTCTGCGTGTCTGTCCTATGGTCTGGGTCAGGACTTGGGCTCTGGAACACAGAGCTCTTGAGCTTGGGGTGGGGACCTGCCCGGCGACACTTACCTTGCTGGTCTTGAGGATGTTGAACATGAGCTGCAAGCCCTCGGTGACCAGCTCCTCATTGTATTCCTCCTCCTTGATGGAGCCGAAGTCCCGTAGGAGACTCTGCACCACCGAGTACCGTGACTGGGAGAAGGAGGTCCTCAGGGACTCGACCCAGACGTGCAGCTTCCAGGGGACACCTGGGCCGGCAGGGGAAGGGCAGGCAGTCATTGCCTGGGCAGAACACTTCCCACACTGGCCCCCTTTCCCCCCTTTCCTGGTAGGCTTTCTCTGGATGAGCCAGAGAGCACCCCTCCCTGTCCTACCTGAGCCTGCACCCTATTCCTGCATACTGAATGCCCTCAGCGCAGGCATGGAACAGCCGCACCCATTCTCCCTGACAGGCCTCCATGAGAAGTCAGAGGGGATTCTGAGTCCTCATTGCATGAGGTGGAGGAATGGCTGCGACCCAAATGCAGGGTGCCCGCTCTGACCGCCTGTAGCTCAACTTGTGGCTGCACTGGCCCCATTGCTTGTGGGCCCTGGAATTATTTACTGGGGCAGACCTGTTAATTATAAGCAGGACATACAGGCCGCACACCTGTCTAGAAGCCTGAGATGAACCCTGTCCTATCATAGGGCTTCTACCAGGGCCCATGTCATGCTCGGTTAGTGTACATCACATTGCTGTCCACCAGCTCTTGGGAGTATCGGGGGCCACAGGGAAAGTTAAACTACTTTGTGAGGCCATGGTAAAAATTAGTACTGTTCCCGGTAATTAGAGAGATAGTGCCCCCCCCCCCCC